ACGTGGCAGAGCCCCCCAAACCTCCCAGAGCTCCACCTGAGGCTTCCTCTCCAGCTCCCAGCGCCAGAAAGCCATTAACGAGCTGGGGTTGATTAATTTTTAATGAGCAGGAGCCAGGGGAGGAGCAGGGCAGAGCGTGTGAGCCGGATTGGGGACAAACCCCAGCCGGGGAGGTGGCACCGTGGGCAGGAGGGACAAAAGGTGACACCTTGAGGTGGTGACAGCTGGGGAAGGGTGGCTGAGACTGCTCCGGGCTGGGGGGAAGGATCCTGCACGCCCAGGTGACACCAGACAAGTCCTGTCCCCTCGGGAGGTGGCAGCGAGAGGAGGTGCCCTGGCTTGGCACTGCCCTGGTGGCATTTTGGGGACCCAGGAGGGACAGATTCACCCCAGATTCACCCCAAAAAGCTGCGGGGTGGGCTGTGAGCGGTGCCTGGAACGGGGATCACTGGGGCTGGTGTGGAGGAGAGGGGCAGGATTGCTGCTGCAGGTTTTCCCTGCAGGGATAGGGATGATCCCGGGATAGGCTCAGTCTGGCACAGCACAAAGGGGAAAAAACGGGAATTTCAGGTTTCCTTGGCAACGTTCTGAGGGTTGGAAGCATCGGAGCAGCCCCGCTGCCTTTCCTGGAGGATGATCCAGGGATGGGGCAGGGCCCGGCTGTCCTGAGCCGATTCTGAGGATGGGGAACACGCATTTCCCAAGGCAGGGAATTGTCAGGAATTTCCCAAGGCAGGGAATTGTCAGCACCAGCACCTGCAGCTCCTCCCTGCCCCACCTGGACACCCACGGGGAGGGACTCGGGCCTGCCTGAGCCACCAAAAACCCCCACAAGATCCCTGAGATTCCTCTGAGGGCAGCTGGGGGATTTGGGAAGGGGCTGGAGCACAAGGACAGGATCAGGGATTTGGGAAGGGGCTGGAGCACCAGGAGAGGATCAGGGATTTGGGATTTGGGGAAGGGGCTGGAGCACCAGGAGAGGATCAGGGATCAGGGAAGGGGCTGGAGCACCAGGGACAGGGATTTGGGATTTGGGAAGGGGCTGGAGCACCAGGGATCAGGGATTTGGGGAGGGGCTGGAGCACCAGGAGAGGCTCAGGGATTTGGGGAGGGGGCTCAGCCTGGAGAAAAGGAGGCTCAGGGGGAACTTCTGGCTCTGCACAACTCCCTGCCAGGACCTGCTCAGGGAACAGGGACAGGAGGAGAGGGAACAGCCCCAGGCTGGGCCAGGGGAGCTCAGGGTGGAAGAATTCCCTTGGAATGGGCTGGGGGAGGCACTCAGGGCACTCAGGGCTTCGGACACAGCTTGGATCCATCCCTGGAGCCTTTTCCAGCCTCAGTGTCTCTGGAATTCTGAGGCTCCAGGGCAGTGAAGATGAGCAGAACAGGCCCTGGGCCTCTCCCGGAGCATGAGGGGCTCCTGCAGCACCTCCACACTGGGGGAACCCCAAAATCCATCAGCAGAACCATCCCTGGAGCATCCAGGGCCCCCAGCCTGGCCTCCCCTCCCAGGGCAGCACAGAGGGAAAGGCTGAGCAGCTCACACCTCGCTAATTGTTATTTGTGATACACCACTAACATTTTAATTAATCTGAAGTCTTCAGCATAACAGCCACCCAAGGTACAAAGCTAAACCAGAATAAACAGGGCTTGATTAAATACATAATTAATGTTCTGCTAAACCAGGCATAGATGAATATTAATTAGCAGGAAGAGTCTGCAGTTTGGCATCTCCTGTCATTATCAATTTATCCTTTCCATTGGCATTCCCAGCTTTGGAACAAATTATCCAACCTCTCCTCCACCAACAGGGAGAGGCTGTGGGAGGCTGGGCTGGGGGTTCTGCTCTCTGCCCTCCACAAGAAGCTGCTCCCAGCCTGGAAACAGAGCCAGAGGCACTGCCAGGAGCAGCCAGCTCAGCCCTAAAGGATGCTCAAAGTCCATCCAACGATTCCCTGCTGGCAGCAAAAGGGGAGCTCATCCCCCAGCGGCACGGGAGGAGAGCAGGGATGGAGCTTGGGGCCCAGCCAGGGGAAACTGAGGCAGGGTTTGGGCTGGCAGTGAGGGTTCAGAGCCCCACAGAGGCACTCAGAGCCCGCCAGGGGAAACTGAGCTCAGAGACCCAGCCAGGGGAAACTGAGGCAGGGTTTGGGCTGGCAGTGAGGGCTCAGAGCCCCAGGGAGGTGAGTGTGGAGCCCCCTCCCAGGGCTTGTGGAGCCGTGTGAGCAGCTCTGGGGGCACGGGAAGGATGGAAAACCCTTGGGAATGAGCTGGACACCTCCGTGGGAGAGCCGAGGGCTCCCAAGGGAGGAGAGGGAGCACCAGAGCTGCCAGAGGAAGCTGGAAGGAGAACAGCAGGCTCTGGAGAGAGCCCGTGCAGCACTTTTGAAGCACAAAAGCTGATCTTCCTTAGAAGAGCCGGTAAAATAAAGATGGAGAGCTTTTCACACAGGTGACAGGACAGGGGGGATGGCCTGAAAGGGAAAGAGGGAAGATTTCCATGGAGTGTTGGGAATCAGTGGGAGGCTGAATGGATTTCCCAGAGCAGCTGCTCCATCCCTGGAAGTGTCCAAGGCCAGCTTGGAGCACCCAGGGCCAGTGGGAGGTGGCACTGCAGGAGCTCTGGGGTCTTTTCCCACCCAAAGCATTCCATGATTTTCCCAGGGCTTGGAGCATCCCCAGCACCTCCCGCCCTGCCCAGCACGAGGAGTGCTCACCCTGCAGGAGCCCGTGGTAATTTAAATGAAATTAAACTTAATTAAAGTCCGTGCCAGCCTCTCCTCTGGCAGGGCTGCTAATTGAGGCAGAGATTCCCGTGTTTCCAAACCCTGGGAAAGCAGAAGGAGTTCAGAGCCCCGGATTGCTGCTCACCTGATTTCATCACAGCCTGAATTATTTATCCCCAGCCTGAATTCTTCCTCAGGGCACAGAGCCCCTGGCAAGGGGCTCCGGTTGGGACCTGGAGGTGACTTTGGACAAATCCCCAGGGAAAGGAGGCAGGGCAGGGCTCTGTCACTGCTGAGAGGCCCCGGGGACACTGAAAAGCCTCTGGGAAGGAGCAGGAGGGGGATTGGGGATCAAAACTCAGCAGGGACAGGGCCAGCACCGAGCCCCAGCCTCACACCTCTGCGGGGATGAAGCTTTAATCCCACATTTAAGATATTTAAATAAGATATTCACCCCAGATTTAAGATATTTAAATAAGATATTCATCCCAGATTTAAGATATTTAAATAAGATATTCATCCCAGATTTAAGATATCCCAGGTTTATTTAAGATAAAATTCTTGAATTCTCCCAGCAGGGGAGAATTTTCAGCATCCAGAGGTGGCTTTGTGCTCCTGAGGAGCAGGGACAGGGCAGCACCAGCCTCCTGCCATGGGTGACACCTGGGCCACTCCTCTGCAGAACCTTCCCCTTCTGCTGCTGTGGGAATCAGGGAGGTGCCACCTGCTCTGAGGGATGAAATCCAGTTACACTTCACTCACTGCAGACATTTCCTATTTTATTTTATTTTATTTTATTTTATTTTATTTTATTTTATTTTATTTTATTTTATTTTATTTTATTTTATTTTATTTTATTTTATTTTATTTTATATTTTTATTTTATATGTTTATTTTATATCTTTATTTTATTTTATATTTTTATATTATTTTATATGTTTATTTTATTTTATTTTATATTTTTATTTTGCTTTATTTTGTTTTAATTTTATTTTTTATTTTATTTTATATTTTATATCTTTATTTTATATTGTATTATATTTTTATTTTTGTTTTATTTTATTTTATTATTTTATTTTTATTTTATTTTATTCTATTTTTATTTTACTTTATTTTATTTTATTTTATTTTATTTTATTTTATTTTATTTTATTTTATTTTATTTTATTTTATTTTATTTTATTTTATTGTCTATGGCTCATTTAAATCTCCTTCCTGGCCTTTCCTGCAGGGCACCCTCCTCTCCCAGCAACACCTGGAGCTGAACTACAGCACCCAACTTATCCCCCTGGGATTAATTAAAAATAGAGGGATGAGGAGGGAGAAATGTTTTGCTGCTGCTGACAGCCTGGAGCAGGTTAATGCCCAGCTCGTGCTGCTGATGCAACGAGAGCAGCAAATCATTAACTCCCAGCTCCTTATCAGCACAACCCAACCCAGGAGCAGCCAGGGGTGCCCAGCAGCAGCTGGAAGGAGACAATTCCCAGCCCAGGAGCAGCAGGAAGCTGGAGGAGCCGGAGGAGGGAAAGGCCAGGAGCTCTGTGTGTGTCCCCTTGGGTTTTGTGGCTCCCAGGGAAAGGCAGAAGCTGGGATTCCACATCCACAGCGGAGCCTTCCCCTGGCAATTCCCCTGCTGGAATTGGGGATGGATGTCCTGATTTACAGATCCACCCAGCCAGGCACAGAGCAAAGAAGGGAGAAAGGCAAGGCAAGGAGAGGAGGAGGAGGGAAGAAACCAGGAAAAAAACCCTGGAAAAGCTGCCTTATTTTACTTTCAACATCCCCAAGAACTGCAGAGCAGCCAAACATCCTGAGCTGTCCCAAACTGATCTCACCATCCTCTGTTCTCCACCAAGCCCGGCCTGGCAGGACCCAGCCCTCCAGAACCTGCAGCTCCGTGATTTTCCACCCCTTGTCCAAACCCAGGCCTGGACCGAGGAAACAAACCCCAGTGCACATTCCCCTGCAGAGACCCAGCGCCCTGAAACCCATCCCTGCCTGCTCACAGACACAGAGAGCCAAAAGGGAGTGGGATTTGTCACCTTTCCCCATCCACCCCGGGGAACTGCGATTGTCACCCAGGCCGGGCTGGCAGGAGCGGGGCTGCAGCTGCTGCAGGCTCCCCCCGAGCCCCCTCCCCAGCCGGGTTCTGCTGCCAAAGCCTCCCGTGGCTCAGCCCCACGGGATCTGCGATGGGATCCTGGCCAAAGGCGCCCACTCTGCGAGCGCCATCTGCGCCGGAGAGCCGGGCTGGGAGCCTCGGGATGGACTCACCGGGGATGTTGTGGATGGTGATAGCCAGGATCATCAGCGTGATCCTCCTCCAGCTGCTGCTCCCGGCCAGGGCGGCTCCGTCACGGGGAGCCGGGAATGCCGGGGGGTCCTCGGCAAGGGGGGACCCCACTCCCCTCCTCCGCTGGTAGGGCTCCCCGTTCTCAGCCTTGTCTGGGGATAGAAAACACTGGGGTGAGGAAAAATGGGGATAGAAAACACCGGGGTGAGGAAAAGTGGAGATAGAAAACATCGGGGTGAGGAAAAGTGGGGAGAGAAATCACCGGGGTGAGGAAAAGTGGGGATAGAAAACATTGGGATGAGGAAAAGTGGGGATAGAAAACATTGGGGTGAGGCACAATGGGGATAGAAAACATTGGGATGAGGAAAAGTGGGGAGAGAAATCACCGGGGTGAGGAAAAGTGGGGATAGAAAACATTGGGGTGAGGAAAAATGGGGATAGAAAACACCGGGGTGAGGAAAAGTGGGGATAGAAAACATTGGGGTGAGGCACAATGGGGACAGAAAACATCGGGGTGAGGAAAAGTGGGGAGAGAAAACATCAGGATGAACTATGATGGGGACAGAAAACACCAGGGTGAGCCATGGTGGGACAGAAAACACCGGGGTGAGGAAAATTTGGGATAGAAAACACGAGGATGAGGAAAAGTGGGTACAGAAAACACTGGTGTGAGCCATGGTGGGAACAAAAAACATCAGGGTGAGGCACAATGGGGACAGAAAACATCGGGGTGAGGCACGGTGGGGACAGAAAATATTGGGGTGAGCCATGGTGGGATAGAAAACATCGGGATGAGGAAAAGTGGGTACAGGAAACTCTGGTGTGAGCCAAGGAAGGCAGAGCTGGGCAGCTCCTGCCTCCCTTCCCAGAAGGAAAAAGCAAAGGAAAGGAATCAAACCGAGCAGAGCAAGGGGTCCCCCGCACCCCCAGGCTCTGCCTGCTCCTCCTCCAGGGACCTTCCCCTGCCCCAGAGTGCTCCAAGCTGGCCTTAGACACTTCCAGGGATCCTGGGGCAGCCACAGCTTCTCTGGGAATTCTTTTCCAGGGTGTCCCAGCCAGGAATTCCTTCCCAATATCCCATCTAATCCTCCTCTCTTTCAGTTTGAGGACAATCAACAAGACCAAAACCAACCCCAGCTCTGTCACTGCCACCTCCTCAGGTGCTCAGGTCCAGCTCATTTCCATCAGATACCTCATTAACTGTTCTTTTATATAATATAACTTAATTTTATTTAGCCTGCTTGGTCCTGTTGGGGGTGAAAATGATGAAAATCCCCTTTCCCGAGGAGACCCGAAGCCCCTCCAAGGCCTGGGGTGACAAAGGCTGGGGGGGACGCCACGGGGGCGAGGAAAACAGGGAAAAGCTGTGGAAATGAAAAGGAATCGGTGTGGTTTTCCCAGGGAAAGTGCAGAGGAGGGGGTTGGAGGGACAGTTTGAAGACAAAATCGCCTCTCCTGTAAACGATCCCTGGATTATCCCGGGGATAAAGGCAGCAACACCAAAAGCAGGGAGACAATCCCGGCATCGTTTTCAGAGGAGTGTCACACACAGCCTGCTCAAGGGATGGGCTCTACTTCCCAGTCCTGCTGGAAAAGAGGATAAAAAGGAAAGGATAATTACAGAGCAGCGATGGCACCACTGCCAGCTCGGGAGGGAGCGGGACAGGAGCATTCCCAGCTGGAAACGCCGGGCTGGGGGAACAAAACAGTCATTAGGGATAAGCACGGGCTTGGCTGGGAATCAGGAAAGCCTCAATGGCAAATTGGAGTGGAGATAAGAGCAGAACAAGGGCTGGGCTGTAAAGAAGAGCTGACACCACAGACAGGCTGCTCCCAGAGCCTGCCAAGACAATTAGGTGGCAAATAACTCCCCGTGCCACAGACATTATTTTAAATCTTGTTCACAAAAAGTCCTTTAGATATTCTACTCGATTTATCATTATTGAATTTCTTAGCAAAGCTGCGGGGCAAAGATTCTGCCAAAAGTTTAATTACATACATGCAGCCTGCTGCATTTTTCATATCCTCTGCAGCCAGCGCTGGAGAAAAGATAAATGGCTTTGAGCGTGGCTTAAACTGCTGCTGAAGTGAAAAAAACGACTGGCTCCTTATCAGCATGTGAAATGGCTTTTTATTTTTGATTATTTCTTAATGAAAACTGTTTGCATTAGCCGTGAGCTCAGCTTTGGTGCTCAAACAGACCCGAGGCTCTGTTGACTCCAAACCCTGCTCCTGCCCTCCCTCAGCTCCCAAATCCAAACCCGTGGAGCTCTCCAGTTTTCCACACTCGCTCCACAGCCCTTCTCCTCCTCCTCCCCACTTAGGCCTGGCTTTAACCTCTCCTAAGCCCTGGAGTTCAGAGTGCTCTGAGCTGTGGGGCTGGCTTTGGAGCCCAGGCAGCCCTCTGAGCGGGTTTAGGAGCTGGTTTAGTCCTGGCTTAGCTGCAAAACCCCTGCAGACAGCCCAGGGGACAGGAGGGGCTGGATCCCTTTGGTACAGGCTCCTTCTCCAAGGAGGAAGAGGCAGCCCAACATCTCCTCTCTCCACGCTGGCACAAACCCACCGAGGCCAGCCTGGAGCTGGAGATGCTGCAAGGAAAACCATTCCCAGCTCCAAACCCCTCCTCTCCACCTCTCCCCCATCCCATCCTTCCAACAAGGAAAAGCTCTGGAGAGACCTCCAGGCCTGGGGACTCCGGGAATTCTTCCTTCAGCCGAACTTCCAAGGGCTGAGCTGCTTCCCCTGGTCAGATCTGTCAGCTCCCATCTCTGAGGTGTGGGAGAAGGGGAGGAGAAGCAGCTCCAAGCTTATTAAAATCCCTAATTAGCTGCTGCTCGCTGGCTGTTGGTGGGAATTATTTGCCGTTGATGAATATGGGAAAGGCGGGAGAGCCTCAAATGTTTCTTCTGTTGTGTAATTCTGATTCCGCCGGAGCGGCTGCTCCAAGCTCGGGCAACACCTGGAGGGAGCAGCAGAGCAGCAAAAAAGCTGCTCCAAATTCCTCTCCGAGCCTCACAGCACCCCCTCAGCCTCCTCATTCCCTGCAGCTGGAATTCTGCCTTAGTGCTGCCCCAGGAAAAGCAGGAGAGTTGAACAGCTTGGGATTCCAGCCGTGTCATCCCTCAGTTTTCCCTTTTTAAGGGCTTTTTCCAAGGATTTCCCCATGTCTTCCCTCAGCTTTCCCTTTTTAAAGGCTTTTCCCAATGTTTCCAGCCATGTCTTCCCTCAGTTTTCCCTTTTTGAAGGCTTTTTCCAAGGATTCCAGCCATGTTTTCCCTCAGCGTTTCCTGGTTTAAAGGTTTATCCAACAATTCCAGCCATGTCTTCCCTCAGTTTTCCCTTTTTAAGGGCTTTTCCCAACAATTCCCCCATGTCTTCCCTCAGCTTTCTCTTTATAAGGGCTTTTTCCAAGGATTCCCCTCTTCCCTCAGTTTTCTCTTTTTGAGGGCTTTTTCCAAGGATTCCGCTGTGTCTTCCCTCAGTTTTCCCTTTTTGAGGGCTTTTTCCAAGGATTCCGCTATGTCTTCCCTCAGCTTTCCCTTTTTATCCAAGGATTCCAGACATGTCCCTCAGCTTTGCCTGTTTTAAGGGCTTTTCCCAATGTTTCCCCCCTTGTCTTCCCTGATTTAAAGGCTTTTTCCAAGGATTCTCCTGTGTCTTCCCTCAGTTTTCCTTTTTTAAGGGTTTTTCCAATGTTTCCAGCCACGTCTTCCCTCAGTTTTCCCTTTTTAAGGGCTTTTTCCAATGTTTCCGCCATGTCTTCCCTCAGCTTTTCCTTTTTAAAGGCTTTTCCCAAGGATTCCAGCCATGTCTTCCCTCAGCTTTCCCTGTTTTTGCTCAAGGATTCCGCCATGTCCCTCAGTTTTCCCTTTTTAAGGGCTTTTTCCAAGGATTTCCCCATGTCCTCCCTCAGCTTTCCCTTTTTAAAGGCTTTTCCCAATGTTTCCAGCCATGTCTTCCCTCAGTTTTCCCTTTTTAAAGGCTTTTTCCAAGGATTCCAGCCATGTCTTCCCTCAGCTTTTCCTTTTTTGAAGGCTTTTTCCAAGGATTCCAGCCATGTTTTCCCTCAGCGTTTCCTGGTTTAAAGGTTTATCCAACAATTCCAGCCATGTCTTCCCTCAGTTTTCCCTTTTTAAGGGCTTTTCCCAACAATTCCCCCATGTCTTCCCTCAGCTTTCTCTTTAAAAGGGCTTTTTCCAAGGATACCCCTGTATCTTCCCTCAGTTTTCCCTTTTTGAAGGCTTTTCCCAAGGATTCCAGCCATGTCTTCCCTCAGTTTTCCCTTTTTAAGGGCTTTTTCCAACAATTCCCCTATGTCTTCCCTCAGCTTTCCCTTTTTATCCAAGGATTCCAGACATGTCCCTCAGCTTTCCCTGTTTTAAGGGCTTTTCCCAATGTTTCCCCCCATGTCTTCCCTGATTTAAAGGCTTTTTCCAACAATTCCCCCATGTCTTCCCTCAGTTTTCCCTTTTTAAGGGCTTTTCCCAATGTTTCCAGCCACGTCTTCCCTCAGCTTTCCCTTTTTAAAGGCTTTTTCCAACAATTCCCCCATGTCTTCCCTCAGCTTTCCCCTTTTAAAGGCTTTTCCCAAGGATTCCAGCCATGTCTTCCCTCAGCTTTCCCTGTTTTTACTCAAGGATTCCAGACATGTCCCTCAGTTTTCCCTTTTTAAGGGCTTTTTCCAACAATTCCCCCATGTCTTCCCTCAGTTTTCCCTTTTTAAAGGCTTTTTCCAACAATTACCCCATGTCTTCCCTCAGCTTTCCCCTTTTAAAGGCTTTTTCTAAGGATTCCAGCCATATCTTCCCTCAGCTTTCCCTGTTTTAAGTGCTTTTTTCCAAGGATTCCAGCCATGTCTTCCCTCAGCTTTCCCTGTTTTTAAGGTTTTTCCCAAGGAATTCTGTCCTCTCTCGGGGCTGAACCCAGCAGTTCCCCCTCAGCATCCACAGAATCCGGCATCTCCCCCTCCAAACTTCCCCACATCCCCCTTTCCCTCATCCCATTCCCACTGCAGGAGGAATTCCAGGGAGCACAGAAGGTTCTGGATGCCGGGGAGCAGATGGGGCGTCAGGGAGCATCTGCTGCCGCGCAGGGAACGCTGCTCTTATCTCCCACCTCCAGAAGAGG